CTTTAATAAATAGGTTATCACTTTAGTTCCATACCTCAACACTGTACATGTTAGAACTTTAATAAATAGGTTATCACTTTAGTTCCATACCTTAACACTGTGCATGTTAGAACTTTAGTTCCTTATTTCAACACTGTACATGTTAGAGCTGTAGTCCAAGTATGTAATACAATTATAATGTACATGTGATCATTTCGTATTCATATCTTAACACCATCATTACAGTTGTATATATATATATAGATGTCAGAACTTTGATGCAACTTGGAAGTCAATTTGTTTACCAATAGGTTTATAACTCCCAATTATTTGTTTTTAGTTTTATCGTGCTGGTGTTTACTTAACCTAAATGTTTTTAGTTTTATTGTGCTGGTGTTTGCTTAACCTAAATGTTTTTAGTTTTATTGTGCTGGTGTTTGCTTAACCTAAATGTTTTTAGTTTTATCGTGCTGGTGTTTGCTTAACCTAAATGTTTTTAGTTTTATTGTGCTGGTGTTTGCTTAACCTAAATGTTTTTAGTTTTATTGTGCTAATTAGGTATTATTGAATTGTGGAAAAAAATGCCAATAGCAGCAAAGGTATCCAATTGACAAAACTGATGATTCAACGCTATCTAATCATTATGAGTTTCTATATCTACTTATATTATATATAGATATTATAATCGTTATTCCCCTATTCGCAGCCCTATGAATTATTTCTTAACTACACACAGTTACTATTTTACTATGAGCTTAATATATCTAATTAAATGGTACTACCGAAATATTTCCAGCAACTTAAATAAAATATTTTACTTTGAACCATAATACTAAATTACTGATATTAAGAAGTTATCAACATAAATCATGACCCCGACAAACATTAACTAATAGACAAATATTGCGATTTTTTCACTTATTTCTAACATTAAATAGACTTCGAAGTCTATTGAAATATACTAGTTTCGATAACGTCAAACCTATTAGCTTTCCAGTTATCATACAATTACAGCCGTCTTTACTCTATAAAGAGGATACGTGTGGGTAAAGCCGGCCATGTTACCTTGAATAAACAACACTATTCTTACCTTTTTGTCATTAATGAACCAATGCAGCTCAGCAGGTCTCACGTCTCTAGCCGATGTACAGTTCACGTCTACAACATCACCTACGTGGTACCTTGTTTGACCACCGGTTATCTTGGGTCCAGCTTCATTATGTCCGAATAAAGCTGGAAAAATGTAACAGAGTTTATATTAGTTTTGAAGTCTCTGTCGAAACTTCATTCTATTTGTGCGAGAACATCTTAAGTTAAAAAGGAATGTCAACATTCTTAATTTAAGATATAAATCCCTTGTTTAGAAAGAAGTTGAATCAGATTACATTTAAACTGATACATTTAAATAATACATTTTTACACATCAATTATCACATCTTTCTTAAATAATGTAATTAAATAAATACTCTCAAACATTAAATTATTCTACAATTATGACATGTAACACATATTTGATCATTTATTACGTGATACAAAAATTATCACAAAATCTAGAGCTTTAATAATAATGTTTAAGATAAACTTTTTATTAAAGATCTCATTGTAATCCTTTAATTTATCATACATCTGATCAGTTTATGTGATTTATTTATTTGTTGTTCTTTGAGTAATTACTCATACATTTTTATTTTGATTACTTTTTAGTAATCTCCATATTAAATATTGTCGTCTGTGATCAATATTACGCAATATATGTATTAACTATTGTAGAGTATGATATATCTATTAATCTACCTATCTAATTATGTACCTTATCCGTTGCGGTTAAAGCGTATAAGTGTAACTGAAAATAAACTGTATTGCAATACAGTGACTGGTAACAAACAGTAGATGTATTTTAGTGGTGTTCAAATTGCAGTTTATTAAAAATTATTTTTTTTCCAGCAATCTTAGGGTTTGAAGATTTATGACACTAAAATCCGGGTTTCGATACCCCTGGGTGGCAGAGCCCAGATAACCCATTGTGTAACCTTCGGACTTACTGGCCCGGCATGGCCAGGTGGTTATGGTGCTCGACTCGCAATCTGCGGGTCGCGAGTTCGAATCCCCGTTCCACTAAACATGATCACCCTTTCAGCCGTGGTGGCATTATAGTTTACCACTTGGAACGAATTTATTATTATGTATTTATTTTTTTATATGAACGTTGTTTGATTGAATTTGTATTTAGAAATATGCGTTACTTGTAGTATCAGATATGTGTTGCGTATAATGAATTTGTTATATATTTATTTTAATGTCAACGTTTGTTTCGAATAAGTTTATATTTGAGAGCGTGTCTAGCTGACCGTGTTAGATGCGTATTGCGAAACTCCCGCCAATTCTCCAAGATTGTAGAATATTCGTGAACACAAGAATCAACAACATATCCACTTCCGTAACCGGTATTGTTCCAACGTTCGAGAAAACATTGCCTGCTCGTATAAAAAGATCAAGGCCAAAGAAGAAAGAGAGAACAGAGAAGAGACCTAATATACAAGTCTGCTAGGAACCCGTTATAACCGTGATTTTGCTAACCCTTACCAACCGGAAAATATACGACATTTGGCCAGAAACAGCTATAAATTTCGAACGTCAGTGAATTCTCATCAAACGTTAGAATCTTTCCAAATAATATTGCTGGTTTCTCAACGGACATTAGTGGTTTTATTAAAATATTATCTTTCTTCGACGGTCCAACAATTCAGTGCCTGACAAAGTTGCTAGCTTCCCGATAATTGGACGTACGTCGACCTCAAGTTGACTCGCTGGATATCAAGGAGACTCTGAACTAGGAAGACGATTTTAGGTTACTTGTAAGTTAGTGAAATTTCTGTTAACACTAAATCCAGGGTACAGTTCAACTATTTAAAGTTAAATTATTTAACGCGGCTTTGGATTATTTCAAATTCTCAATACGTAACACACTATTCGTTTGTAAAAGAGTAGCCCAAGAGTTGGCGGTGGGTGGTGATGACTAGCTGCCTTCCCTATAGTCTCACACTGCTAAATTAGGGACGGCTAGCGCAGATAGCCCTCGTGTAGCTTTGCGCGAAATTCAAAAACAAACAAAAGTATGTAAAAATTGTTTACAACTAGTGGGCCCAGCATGGCCAGGTGGTTAGGATCTGAGGATCGCGGGTTTGATTCCCCGTCCCACCAAACATGCTCGCCCTTTCAGCCGTGGGGGCGTTATAATGTGATGGTCAATCCCACTATTCGTTGGTAAAAGAGTAGCTCAAGAGTTTGCTAGCTGCTAAATTAGGGGTGGCTAGCGCAGATAGCCCTCGTGTAGCTTTGCGCTAAATTGAAAAACAAACAAACAAATACAACTAGTGTATTTTACAGTCAAAATAAAGGTAAAATTATTTGTTATAATGACTACAAACTCATAAATTTCTTTACCGTCCGGAGAAGCCGACTTCAGTCTCTCTCCAAGTAGCGTCTCTTCACTGTGGCTGTAATAATTTTGCGAAATGGTAGCTGTACATCGTACGGTCATCACGCCTTTGTTGAAATGGTTGAGTGTTACCTGGAACTGCAGGCCTAAGATAGTACTTTCCAAGCCATCCAGATGTCGTTCCGTAACCATGGGAGTTAGAAAACGCTCATCAACCTTGCAAATGAATCCGTAACAATAAGTGAATAGATCTGGATTTACTGTGCTAAACCAAATGAATATATGTATTCCGTGAATTATTTCTTCCTTTCGAAAACACTTACATTTATGGACAACTAGCTTTAGCTGACTAATTTAGGTTAAGCAAACATACCAGCACAATAAAACTAAAAACA